GCAATCAACATCTTCCTCTGGGTTTTCGGGTTTCTCAACCAACATCTCCTTTTATGGTCTTGGGTTTTGTCACCACCATCTTGTTTTTGTTCTGCGGGGTACTGCGCACAACATCTCCTTTTCAGGGTTTGGGGTTTGGCAACGCCTCATTTTAGAATCTTGGGTTTGGCAACATGTCTTTTTGGGCTCTTGGGTTTTGCTGCCATCTGGGGTTTGCCAAGCTTCACCTGTTTTATTGGTTTGGGGTTGGCAATCAACACATCCTTTTCGGGTTTAGGGTTTATCATGCAATCAAGCAATTGAGGGTTGGGTTTTTTTCTGCTTTGAGGTTTGGGTTCAACGACCAACACCTTCTTTTGGGGCTTGGGGTTTGCCACCTGGGGTTTGCCAGCTTTCTTCCCATTTTAGGGTTTGCTGTTTGGCAATCAGCATCTCCCTCTAGGTTTTAGGGTTTCTCAACCTACATCTCCTTTTTATGGCTTTGGTTCCTTTTTGGGGTTTCGGGGTCGGGCAACTAATATCTTCCAAAGAAGGTCCCTATACCCTCAATACAGAAATGTTGCCGTTGTAACTCTTGGCCCCTTGTTTCTTTCAAGAGCGAGTGTCGAGAGTTTAGGTTTTAGTGAGGGTGTCGAGGTTGTCGGGATGGAAATTTTGGAACGAGACGACATCCCTAAATTGGACAGAACGATACCCAAAATGTAGTCTCGAGTGGCCGAGATGGGCCTGTTTCCCTGAACCAGAAGCCTGAAAGCCCCAACACAGAAGACTCCAAACAGTCCAAACATCTTAAAGCAAGGCAGGGCCGGAATCACCGTTTTGCCATTTTCACAGTCCAAAGCCTTTAAAACAGTGATTCCCTGTGGGTCCGCGTGTGCGGGAACGGGATCCATGGCAAGCGATGTCAGTCAAGGCTTTGCTGTCTTATAGAAGCACACTGAATGAAGCAGAGTTACATCCTAACCGTCCTAATTGTGTGTATGATCGATTAAATTCTCAAAGTTCTCAACTCAAGTGAGCCGGCGTCAAAACTATTGTTTACGCCAGCTTCGTTTTGAGATTAGGGCGTCCCCTATCGTTGTACAGTATTTGCAACTTGAAGCATACCGGAACAAGCGATACACTGCTTTAGAGTAGGGAGATGCAGTATAGAACACCTGGGGTTGCGGCCCTTGGGGCATTTTGGACTCCTTGGGGCTTTTGGCACACGGAGGAATCACCATTTTTGGTAGATGTCAGCTTCAAGAGTGCGAAGATGGTGATTCCCGGGTGTTGCCCCGTTCCCCTTACACGCGGGGAAATCACGATTTTTCAGGACTTGTTTCGAGTTCGTCCCGCATGCCCTCCCCAAACACGTGGGGGAGTCACCATGATAGATTTGAGCTCTAAACATGCTACAATGGTGATTCCCGCGTGTTGCCCCGTTCCCCCACATGCAGGGGAATCACTGTTTTGGAGGATTTGGACTGTGAACGACGACGACTACTACTTGCAGTAATGATCCTGGTCGGCGCAAGTGCATCTACAAAGTTACGAGAGGGGTGGTGGTCGAGGGGTTTAGACCGTCGGGGCAGGGTGTGGTGGTCACCCCACCCAGCTTGAAACTCTCGTGCTCGCAAAGTCAAGAGCTCCCAAGCAATCTGTATTATCCGTGTTCAGCTCCATGTGATTGTCTTCAGCAGGTGCCCGGGGCAGAAGCCGCAGTTACAGCTCGTCAGCGGCCCACAACTATCAGCCAACTGGTCTTCAGCAGCTTCTTGCTTCAGCAGGTATAGCTATAGCTACAGCTATAGCCCGAGCCCAGAGAGACGAGCAAGAGACTCAGAGCACAGAGCCGTCGTATCCGGTCGCAGATCGCAATGCTTGGTTTAATTCTCCATGCAGGCCAAAGCAGGTCGCCAACTTAGAGCCAGACCAGAAAGCTGCGACTCAATGATCACTTTGGAACCTCATGATTAGGTGCACCACCTCCAGCATCGGGACCGGCAGCAGCGCCAGCAGCGCCAGCAGCACCAGTGCCAGTGCCAGCGGCAGCTCCTCCGGTACCTCGGATGCAGGGGCGAGCATGGCATAAAATGGCATATCATGGCCACAGCGACGGCAGTGGAGTATTTATTTGGGCCTTGACTGTCAAAACTTGGCGTCAGCACTGATCTCTGGACTGGAGGCTTCGCACTAGCCACGCAGGCGGCAGCCTCGGCACCAGACTTCGTTGCACCGTTCCTCGATGTCTGCTAGGCACCGCCATTTCATCCGGGACCGCTCCTTGGTGAGATTTGAGAAAGGTGGTCTTTGTGCAAGAAGTTTTCGAGCTTGCTGCAAAGATCTGTGTGGCTATTATTGACGTCGCAGGAAGGAGGAGTAGTGATGAAGTTTGAGCCACTGGGGATGTCAGTGTCGTTCGACACACATCTGTGCGGATAGATGTCAGCCTTATCCTTCAGTGTCCCATCGTCTTTCACCTGCTTGCACTTGTGCTGCTTGATCTCCAACTGGGGCGTGCAGCCGCACAAGCAAGGGTTCCGTGGTTGTTACCCCAAATAAGTAGTGGCAGTATCTCCGTCTAGATACACGCAGCTGAGACACCACTACAGTTCCGGTAGATGAAAGGGAGAACTGTCTCTGCAGCAAAGGTGCGCGAGGTAGTTCGCCTTAATGCCAAGCCAGCCTTGCACCTATCACGTCGGTGGAAAACACTCCGCTGTGAGTGACATGAGCTTGCCTACTTGCAGGATTTGCGATGTCGTGAGAGCTCACCACGGCATGTCACGATTGTGCAATGAAGCCAGCGTCAACATGGCACATGCTCGCCCTCGCAGCTGGTCCAAGCGATGGGGCAGTCTCTTCCAGAACGTGAGGCCTCGCAAAGACCCGTGCCTCCTGAAATCTCGTGAACAATTTAAAGCCGAAACCTTGCAACTGCTAGCGACGAATCTGCATTCCTTGGCCTCTGCAGCCTTTCGGAAATGGCAGATACATGGGCCTCTAGCTCAGCATCAGTGTCGCTGGACCAGTCTTGTGATCGGAGAGCTGGCAGCAGTTCTTGCGGAACAACGGAGAACTACAACCAAACGTGAGAAACACTAAGCAGAGGAAAGAGGAATACAACGGGTGAAGGCGGCTGAGAACCGTAGCTTGGGCACGCAAGAGCTCGAACAGCGGTCCCCACGATGATACGAGTTGGCTTCGAGGCCACTACTCCCTATGCCTCTCAGGTGTCTTCCAGCGTTTGTCCGCTGCATCCAACCTTCTGCATGCAAGCACTTGCCAACCCATCCTGTTGTGTAGACTTGACATCGTAGCTGCAGCTCACCGCTCAACACATTCAGGGCATCTGGGTGCAAAAAGAGGAATCTAGAAAGAATCGGTATGTTGCCGTTAATTTCTTTGGCCTGAACGACGACAGTACAGACTTCGACGAACCTCGGAGTTAAAGTGTCATCCAGAAGCACCTGGATCAGCAATTGCGCGGGCTTCTCCCAAGGGGATTCACAGTCGTTAATCTGTTCAGGCGCGAAAACGGGGAGGCTCCCCTCACATGCTCCGAGACCTCCACAGGGTGTAAAGCCCTGCAGAGCCTGCAGTACGCGCCCACGTGAGAACGGCGGGACCTGCCCTTCTCTAGCCTCGTAGAGAGAGAGGGAGAGGGAGCGAGAAGCGACAGAGAGAGAGGATTTTCAAACACCTTGACCCACCCCTATGCCTGGGAGAAGAAGGAAAGACAGTGACACGATGCTGGCGTTGCTGCAAGTGCGTAGCGCCAGTGCTTAGCGGGCAGCGACACCTCCAGGCCTAACGCAAAAAATCCACGTACAATGTGGGTCCCCAGCTGGGGTACGATTCGACGATCCTGCCCAGCAACGAAGAAGCAACCGAGCATGAAAGGCAAACGATTGTCTCACGTCTGTTGTGGCAAGACTTGTGTGAGTTCCGGCTTCCACCTGGGGGAGAGGCGAGAAGGTAGGACCAGGAGAAACGCCAGAAGCGAAAGAGCCAGCAGTTGTTGAAGAGCCATCAGTTGTCTTGCGAAAGCGGGGTGACAAACCGGCAGGTAGAGGTACGCACCAGCGAGAAGAAGTGCCCGAATTGCATGAAATGGTTGTATGGCCCTTGCTGCACCTGACCACTTTGCAAGGTACTACTGGAATGCCACAAAAGACGACGTGCTTTGGGAACCTCCGCCCAATGTAAGGCCTGCTCTGATTTGCCTGGGAGTCTTTGGAGTCGCCGTCACACGCAGGGTCATCTGGGCAGCAGAGAAGCAGCTTGGCAGTATGGACGCGAGAAGAAGTCTGCACCCTCCCGGCTGTAATCTGCCAGGCTGCCTGGCACTAGCAAGACTTACTACTGGAACAAGGATTGGCATTGACGATTGATTCTCATTTATATGATTCTCCTTTATAGGGTGCGGTGCAATCGGTGCATGCATCGAGTCAGTTTGCACAGGAGACGAACGAGAGTGTTTGGACGCTCCCTTCCCAATCTCGGAACCAAGCTCTAGGCACGGCGCATGTCCTTGGCATTTCTTGCATGCCGATCATGCAGCTTGCCTAGGCCCATGCGTGCCGGGCCCTTGTGGCCCTGGGCCCTGCGGCCCTGGGCCTTGTGGTCCTCCGCGACAGGCTGCGCCCAGCGTTGGGCCAGGCCCATGTGCTCCTTGCCCTTGCGGCCCATGTGGGCCTGCGTCTGGACCGTGTGGTCCTCGACCTTGTGGGCCCTGTGGGCCCTGTGGCCCTTGCGGTCCTTGCGGGCCTTGTGGGGGCTGCCAACTTAGTCCTTGTTTGCCTGGTGGTCCTTGTGGGCATGGCCCCGTGCCGCCGAAACCAGCTGGGCCGCCCTTCGGACAAGGCTCTTCTGTCCAGTGGTGCAGCCCGTTGCTTGGTTTTCTCGATTGAATGCAGGCCCCTGCGCGTCGGCAGAATACAGAGTATCGCCCACGGTTGGAAGCACTCGGACGCGGTCCAAAGCCCGGTCAGATGAACATCTCGTTGCCGAATGCCGAATGCAGCCTGACCCTAATTTCGAGGCCTGAGAGCTGGGCAGACGTCCGTGATGGGCCGATCATGGACCGGCTGGAAGATTATGCGCCAGAGCAGTCAGCAGGGCAAAGGACGGCACCGCCAGAATCGCTCGAATTCGAAAAAACGAGCCGTGTTCCCAAGATTGGACTGAGAGGATCCTGGGCTCCTTGGCGAAGTTTGGTGGTGCCTCAGAAGCAAGGGGCCGCACATGGGCAGCCGTGTGTGCGAGGACTTTGTCCGCAGGTGCAGCGGAACCACCGTCTGAAGGTCCTGGTTGGTGGGCTTCCGAGGACTATGACAATTGGTGGCGGGGCCTGCATCGCTTTGGGGGTTTAGGGGAGAAAATCACGACGCCATGTGACCATGTAATCAATGTAATCTTCATGTCGCACGGAGCATGCATGCCAGGGGTCAATGTCGTGCAAGGCAGGCTACCTCTCGTCCCGCATCTCTTTTCTTTTCTCCCTCTCTCTCTGAAGACTTTGAGGCATGTCATTGCGCAAGCGAGGGAGGGACTCTGAGGGACTTGTGCCGCGTCTGTTGGGTGCAGCTTGGAGAGGTTCCTGCACGAAGCCACGGCCCTACGTCCTGAGCTTTCTGTGCTGGCAAAGCTGAGCGAGCCATAGCGAGCCAGCCTGGAGGTTCAAGCGGTCAGAGGCGTTGCCAAAGCGGGGAAGCTTGTTTGGGAGGCTGCGGATCTTGCAGAAAATTGGCTTCTCCTCAAGTCTTTTGCTCCATCACGACTTGTTGTGACTGTCAGACTCTAGTCTCAGATTGTTGCAAGAGTGCTTTGTTTCCTTTTCAGATGCTGCCACAAGACGTGGACCTCTCAAAGCTGGCGGTGCTCGAAGTTGAGGCATCTGTAAGCACGAGGCCTAGAAACAAATCCTCGTCGTTGTGCTGTCCTTCCTGGCTGCTCACTGTGTAGTTGTCTTGCTTTGTCGCCAGTTTGTGATTTCACCAGACTGCAGTCGTGGGAGTGTCTTCGTGATCTTGGATTTTTCGCCACACCGAGATGCTGCGTCCATCTTTCCGGCTGACTTCTGTATCGCCGGTGCGGCAGGGAGCCTACCTGTGCGGGAGTCACGAGTTGACAAGGCTCAAAGAGCAGCAGATAGCTGCTTTTGGAAAAAACTCGCGAAACGTTGCGACAGCTGAGGACCCCGAAGGTTTGCCTGCCGCGGCACATGTCACGCCAGGCCTGCTGCAAGACTAGGATTGAGGAGCGGGTATTGCTCCGGACAGCGGTGTGGCAGGTTACCTGGTGGCGGCCTTCGCAGACACGCCGTATGATGCGTCAGATGCACGCAACAGAGAACTTACAACAATCGATACAACAGTGAAAACAAGTGGGCCAAAACCCCGTCATGCATAAGGCGCTTTGGACGTTGAGCCGATGTTGGTGGTCGCTAATCAAGGCAGTTTCGAGGCCGACAGGCTGAGGCACAGCTTGCTAGAATGCAGGCAACAACCAGCCTGGTTACCCTGGTCTTCATCACGGCCTTGGGTGGAAGCGGAGAGGTGCGTGCAGAGCCCGGAGGGTGCTGAAGCTTGGGACATGGGGGTGTCGATTCAGGCGGCAGATGCCGGAGAGGAGAACAGCTACCTGGAGTTGCACCGCCAGTGTTTGATGCAGGACATGCAATGCAGAGCATACTTCCGACTGCCGAACATGAAATGAGAAAGTCGCTTTGCAGTCCCCTGCACCTCTGATCTTTGCTGCCCAGCGCGTTGCTGGAGGCCTCGTTTAGGAACGTCGCTTTGCATTGTGAGTCAGAGTGTGGTAACGTAAAGTGCATCCACAACCGGATGATGCAGCACAGGGGTTTGCCATGTCATAGAGGCAGCAGAAGACCCCGCCTGCTTGGTGGCTGGAACGTTTCCAAGTCGCAGAGAGACAAGGCAGCCGTTGGGCACAGCTCGGCTCATGCCCTGTCTTCGGTCATGGTGAGAACAGCAACGAGGGAGAGAGAGAGAGAGAGAGAGAGGGGTGCGGTAGTTTTGCACTTACATTTTTGCTGCCGGGGGGCTTCCATGCACCATGCACATAACATATGCTTTAGGCCAGGGCCTCAGCGGTTTGTTGTGCATCGTAGTGCATTGTTTCTCTCATGCAGTGTTGCTTCAACTTGTTGCCCATGCCAATGTCCTTAACACGGGGGGATGTCATCTCTTGAAGTTCTCGTGTATAGCCGAGCCTGCCGGGGAAAACTCCCGGTGGGAGGGGACAAATCCGCCAACGAACTGCGGGTGTGCGCTCGCACAGAGGAAGGTGGCCCGGACGCTGCTGCCTTCTTCACGCCCAGTAGAGAGAGAGGAGGAGAGAGAGGGAGGGGTGCAGCCTCTCTTGTGGAAGAGCGAGAAAGGGAGTCCACACAGCAACGTCTACCGTTTCACTTCATCGCAAATGCGTCCCTGACCAGCCCGGCCCTGGGTGCCCCTTGGCCAGGCCACGGAGTGGTTGAACCCACGAGAATGGGGATGGAACGGAGGAGGCTCGGACCGCCGGTTTTGTGAAGGGTTCAGCGTCGTCTGCTTGTGGTGTGCCAGCAGTCGGCACTTGTAGCAGTCTCCAACTTTGAGCAGCCGGTTGTCGCTTTGTGACCCAGCGTAGACAACACCAAAGCGACACAAAGCTTGAATTTCGGGTTTTGCTGTCAGTGTGCCTGGGTCTTCATCGAACTACGGGTGTGAACTGAAACTTAAAGTGGAGTTGCACTGGGGTCTATATCTTTCATGATGTTCCTGGTTGACAGCGTTGCATGTAGCTGCGCTTCAAGTTTCGCTGGGAACTCACACCCAAGAAGCATGCATATTCCAACTGCACGGCTGTTGAGCGAACCGTGCTGGAAGCTGGAGTGTCTGGACATAGCAGGCGGCGAAGGTGGCTGGAACCACCAGGGCGCGCCTCGAGGTGCACCACACTCCATCCGGCCAGCAAGGGGGGACATGTTGTATTGAAAACTCGGACCTGCGTGAAGCCCCAGAGAAGCTGAAGCACGTCGGTAAGAATTCGTGTCTGAGCGCAGGGGTCGCAGGAGAAGCCAAGATCAGCAACCAGTAGAAGATTGGAGTCAAGATCAGACGTGGATGAGAGAGGTCAAGAAAGTTTAGAGCTGTAGGCAAATGTAACAAGTTTTAGTCCAAAGAGCTGAAGAGTGTCCCGAAGAGACTTCCTCACATGCAACATGCCTGCAAAGCTAAATCCTTCGGAGCATGGTCTCAGGCAGAAGGAAGCGGGATGGCTACGATGGATATGAGCAGGCTGACGCAGCAGACTGTGTCAGGTCGCAGAACATCTGCTGCCCTCCTCCCTACCAAAATTGGGAACCGATGAGAGGGTAGAGAAGGAACTCGCTGTAACCCTTCTCGCGTGCCCAATGAAGCCGACCTCTTGGTCAAGGGCCGACAGCAATCCGCCGTGAGCAGGCCTGGCCTGAAGAAGACTGGTCTCAGTGGGACGGTGAGACAGAGGCAGTTGGAGCATTCGCCCCTCGCAAGTTCTCTGAGGGCAGCTCAGCTGTAATTCCGGCTCCCTGCTAGGACCACTTACTGGAGAGCGTCCAGGAGTTTCTGTCGACAGGTCCCAAAGAGGCCCGGACATCCTATGTCCTCGATGCAAGCACTTCTTGCGAGGGGTTTTGATGGCGAGTGAAATTAGACAGGTTCAGGAGTTGGCCTCCATGTTCGCCGGCCGCTTCAACGCAGTGGTTCCTCGGCTTTTCTTACCTTGTTTCGGATACCGTGCTTTCAGGGTACATAAAGCTTGAATCTTTCAACCAACGGCTTGAGCTCCTGGTTCTACTGTGTTGCTGCTTTCATGGCCGCGTCTGAACGACAAAACCAAGAGTCAGCATGTAAAGTTTTGAGGTTTCGAGGGGTGTTTGGGGATAGGGGCAACGAATGCCGCGATGACAAGCAGTTCCCTAGCGTTAATTGGGGTCCTACACTGGTCTGGATGATTTGAAGAAGTGTAGACGCCGAGAGGCGGAGCAGTGGTGACACTAGCAGCTCACTAGCAAGGCCGTGAAATGTAGGACTTCTCTAACAAAGATGTGTGACAGCGGCTCCAATCCGTCGATGGTCGTACTTGCCCAGGTCCGAGCTGATCCTCGGAGTGGCTACAGCCATGAGTTTCGGCTGCAGGGCGAGATGACAGTCGTAGTTGGAGCATATCAACCAGCGGATCGTGAACGAAACGTGAAACCATGCGCAACCAGCCTGAGCTCCAAACCGAGGAAAGAAAAAACGATGGTAGTTTCAAAAAGCACGGTTCTCAGAGCTGCGACTTGCAACTCGGGGGCTGGGATGGAACCACTCATTGGACCCATCATCTGTCAAGGTGGCTACTTGGTGCCGGCTTCGAGGCGAGCGCACTCTTCGACCGGAACAAGTGCCTTGTGCGGCTGCCGCGTTTAAGCTTAGCGATCTAGGTATGCTTTGCTAGTCCCCTGAGCCCAGATTTCATTGCCGTATTCAAAGCGGACTACCCGTGGCACCAGAGGCGCGTTCTCTGCTGACTTCTGTGCCTTCAGCAGTCAAAAGAATGTCTGGTTCTCAGGTGGGAGGAAGAACCGTGGTGGTGACCGGGGAGGTCAGCAGACCTCGTTCGGTATCTGGCAATTCTGAGAGCAGTTAATTCGAGGATGCACGCCAGGTGCAGAGCACATCGATGCGGAGCAGGCCGTTCACACATGTCTGCAGCAGCAGGTTCAGAGCTGTCAGAGCTGCAGGATTACTTCGATGCTCCGCAGGGAATGTATTCGCGTCAGCTTGCCAGTTTATATCTGGGCCAGAGCGACTTGATTCCCAAAGAGTCCCTCGACTCAGCGCCAGGTGAGGGACCCGGCAGAAGAGGGCCTGGCCCACCATCGAAGTGGTGAGCCACGGGTGCCCTGCCACAGGCCATGGGGCTTCTCAGAAAGAAAACATAGCGGGCACAGAACACACTGATATTATAGACATCCATACAACTAGGCCAGCAAGATTAGCAAATCGCAGACCCCTGTTCTGGCAAGATCAGACACTACAGTTTTCAAGCACGGAGATCTTCCGCGGGTGAGCTGTTCAGTGTCTGCAGCCAGGTGAGCGACCTGGGCAGGCCTCTTCAATGAAGTTTTCTGCAAACAGAGGTGCCTGGGAGTTGCAGCCCCTTTTTCGGGGGGGGGGAGTCATCAATAGAGGCACCCAGGGCTTTCTCTGAAGAAGCCCCGCTTAGGGTGTCGAGAAGCTTGTGGGTTTTGGAGTTTGTGTGTGTGTGTGTGTGTTTGCAGTTTGTGGCAGCAGTCAGTCTGAGAGCTGGGCCTGACCCCGACTTCTTCCCACTTGGAAGGTTAATGTTGGCTCGTGGAAGAGATGGCTCCACTCTCAGGACAGCATGTTTGGGCTTCAGATGCGCTGTGGGGACAACAGATCTCGTGAAGCCTGGCTTTGCATCTAGGTTGGCATCCGTTCACAGCATGGAGGTCGTTGTGGATTCCAGGTCCTTACTGGGAACATCCGCCAGTTTGGGACAGCATGTCATGGAGCTGCATTTCTCGATGCACTGGACCATTTTGCTCTCTTCAGCGGCTCGAGTCAGGTCAGTGTTCGTGCAAAGAAACCTGATGCAAAAAGATTCATTGCCTCGCTGCCTCGCGGATTCCAGAATGGAACACAACATCACCACGAAAGCCGAAGCAAAATGATGCACGCATCCGTGCCATGGGGTCAGCGACTCCCGCTCGCTTCAAACCCTTCTCAGCCCCTTCACCGACAGGTTGCAGCAAGAGCTTGCCGCAGGCCAGGGAATAGCCTGGCTCGATCCCTGCCAGGGATAGGGGGCATGCTGGCAGCCGTAAAGGTTGCCTTGCGGAACCGTGGAGACCGCAGGATCTGTGCTCGACCGAGCCTGCTCCCACGCAGTGTCGAGGGCCAAGAAGCCAAGCCACAAGGCGCGATGGCGAAGAAGCCCTCCGAGTTGGACGTCATGAAAGAAGTTGACGTGGCCACCATCTCCCAAAGACTTTCGAAGCCAAGTCTAGCAAACGGCTGGACTCTGGTTGGAGATTTGGGGATCACTACTACCGTCGCTCCAATGCTCAGTATCGTCTTCGCTCGTGCCCTCCAGCCAGATTGGTATCGGCAACTTCCAGACAGTGATGTCGAGTTCATTTTTCCCGAGCTCTTCCACGGCTTGTTGTATGGTCTGTGCTGGCTTCTGGGAGGTCTTGCACTTGGTGCTTTCGAGACCAAGGCTGTAAATCCTAAGAACCTCCTGGAGACTATTCAGCGGACAGCATGGGCCGCTGTGGCGACAGTTTGGCTGGCGTGCTCAGCCTGGCTGGTTTTAAGGGCAAATGGCTGGCTTCCGGACAGCTACGCGGCCCTGGGTTATGTTGCTAGGCTGCACAGTATATAGCTGTCCGTCCCAACCTCTCTGGACACATGCCAGACATACAGCGACAGACTCGTCCAAGTCTGACCGAGGTGACCAGCGCAGCCTTCTTGCCGACTTTTCGAGACTTTTTCATCGACCTCCAGTTTGAGGCAGGCAATGCGGGAGGTGCATGTTGGATCTGGTCAGCCATGCCGAGCAAGATTTAGGTGAAGTGCATGGGAACCCAGTTTCCAGACCGAAGGCCCAACATACCCTTCGAACCTTCGTGCACAGGTGTGGTGTCTTATTGCGTGGCGGCTGACACGAGCCGTTTCGGTTGAAGGATCAGGGCTCTATGCAGAAGGCAAGCGGTCCGACACTGGACTGATAGACAAGGGCTTAATCCTGGTTGCTTTGGTGTTGTATGGTATACGCAAGCACGCATGCCTTCATGGTCGCATACATACAGACAAGATCCTTCATGCATCCTTTCTCTGTGTTACTTAGTGTCTGCAAGGCAGACGCACACATGGCTCTTTCTCTCTCTCTCTCTCTCTCTCTCTCTACCTCTCTACCTCTCTGTCTCTGTCTGCATCTCTGTCTGTGTCTGTCTCTGTCGCTGTCTCTCTCTGTTTCTCGATGCGAAAAGCGCGACCGCCGAGACCGCTCGTCAGCAGCCCTTTCAATGGGACTAGTGACTAGTGTGCAGGGAAACCATAAAGAGTAGGCGGAAGCATATGGCATGGGACACAATTTCAGTTAAACTACATACACGATGTGCAATTCTATACAGGGCTCTTCGCCACCCTTTTCGGATGGTAAATTTTCCGGGCCTCGTGAGGGAAAGGCTTAGTATGAAAGGAGCCTTCTATGTTCGCTGATGAAGTACCTGACGCACAAGGGGTATTTGTGGCCGCTCGCAAATAAAAGCTGGAGCACCTGATAAGTCAATTGACGCGGGCATAGAGCTGTGGTCCCCCGGTTTGCGTCATGTCGGCTCCCCTAGACAGCACTTTGGAAAAAGGAATCATGGTCTGGTGGACAGACCAAAGGGTGTCGCCCATTCGCCGCGTCGGTGCGGCGATAAAACGTAGGATGACGGATAGACCAACGCAGTACCTCCAGCATAAGTGCTGGAAACCTGCGTCGAAATCGGGGATATATGATGCAGGTTCGGTCGTCCC